ACTCTTTCCTGGGTAAGGGTATCGTCTCTGAGAAGCAGAAGAACCTCTGAGGATATTTTCCTTTCTTGCGAAAAAGAGGTGACCGAACGACACAAGCTGACACTTGGATCTTGCCAGACAGCCCGGACAGGGGCCTTCAAGGGCGTCAAACAGGCGCAGACGTCGCGAGCGTGCTGACGTCAGCCCTTGCGTCAGACGCCACGGGGGAAGTGGGCGTGTGCCTGCGTCCTAGGGCATCGGAGCTGTCTGATCCTGTGTTGTCTGAGCTCTTTTCTGTGCTCCGAACTTCAGTTTGTGGGAATGGTTACGTGGGCACAAAAGCAAAATTATGGTGAAGAAAGCATGTTGTACGGTTTATATATCTTTCAAACGTTTTTCCCCTCAATGCGTCAAAACACTACGCACCTGCTGGTAGGTACGTACCCCTGTTAACAACCACTTTGCAAAGCAATTTGGCAAAATCTAGTGAAACCGAAAATATGCAAATACCAAATTCCAGCATTCCGCTCCTAACTGCTTATCTTATGGGAACTTTGCTATGTAGACAAGGATATCCACAACAGCGCTAGGAATAGAAGCAAAAAGTTGGAAACTTCCACCAATAAGAGCATAAACCCATTATGGGGTATTCATACGGTGGAATATTATATGCCAGTAAGTCAAGACTGAGCCCGCAAATGTGATGAAGCAAAAAGAGGAAGAAGTGGAACATACATAATAGGACAATTAATACACGTACAATTTTGAAACATGCAAAACAATACTATATATTGCTTAGGCATATATGCATATGTAGTGAAAGTAGTCAAGAAATACAAGGGGATGGGGGCTTCCCTGGTGGCGCAGTGGTTGAGAGTCTGCCTGCTAATGCAGGGGACACGGGTTCGAGCCCTGGTCTGGGAGGATCCCCCATGCCGCGGAGTGGCTGGGCCCGTGAGCCACAGCTACTGAGCCTGCGCATCTGGAGCCTGTGCTCCGCAACAAGAGAGGCCACGATAGTAAGAGGCCCACGCACCGCGATGAAGAGTGGCCCCCGCTTGCCACAACTAGAAAAAGCCCTCGCACAGAAACGAAGACCCAACACAGCAAAAATAAATTAGTTAATTAAACTCCTACCCCCAACATCTAAAAAAAAAAAAAACAAAAACCATTTATTAAAAAAAAAAAAAAAAAGAAATACAAGGGGATGAAAATCAAATTTAGAAACGTGGTCTTGTCTGGTAGGAAGGGGACTGTAAAGAAAGGGGTATACAGGAGGCTTTAACTATTTTGACTAATGTTAAGCTGGTTATTGAGTACATGGGAGGTGATTGTTTATTCATCACTATACTTTGTAATATTTTCTAAATAATTTATTTTTAATTAATATTAATAAATATTAATAGTTTTTAAAGGGTAGTTTTAGATTTAGCAAAAAAATTTTTTTAGAAAAATGGTACAGAGAATTCCCATATACTTGGCACCTAGTTTACCCTATTGTGAACATCTTAACATTAGTATGCTACAGTTTCAATTAGTGACACAATATTGTACATTTAAAAAAATTAATTAATTTATTTTGGGCTGTGTTGAGTCTTCATTGCTGCACACGGGTTTTCTGTAGTTGCGGCAAGTGGGGACTACTCTTCATTGTGGTGCTCGGGCTTTTCATTGCGTCAGCTTCTCTTGTTGCAGAGCACAGGCTGTAGGCATGCAGGCTTCAGTAGTTGCAGCACACGGGCTCAGTAGTTGTGGCTCATGGGCTCTAGAGTGCAGGTTCAGTAGTCATGGCGCACAGGCTTAGTTGCTCCGTGGCATGTGGGATCTTCCTGGACCAGGCTCAAAGCAGTATCCCCTGCATTGGCAGGAGGATTCTTAACCACTGTGCCACCAGGGAAATCCCATTTGGATGATTTTTGACTAATGTAAATATATAGCCTTGGAACCAATATCCCCAATCAAGATCTAGAATATTGCCATTCCCATTAACAATTCCCTGTGCTTTGTCCCAGCTGATCCCCTCCCCAACTAGAACAATCCAACATTCTGATTTCTATAACCATTGATTAGTTTTGCCTATTCTTAAATTTCATATACATGATACTGTACAGTATGTACACTTTTTGTCTGGCTCTTGTTTTCAACTTAGTGTTTTTAAGATTCAATCATGTTGTTGCTTGTACCAGTAGTTTATTTTATTTTGTATTGCTAAGTAGTATTCTACTATATGAATTTACCACAATTTATTTTTACATTCTCCTCTTGATGGAAATTTGTTTTTTTCCTCTCAGTTTTATGCTACTATGAAAAAAGCTGCCATAAATATCTTTGTGAATATGTTTTCTGTTCTTCTGGGTGATACCTAGAGCGTTGCTTGATCATAAGGTATCTCTAACTTCATAGAAAATTGCCAAATGGTTTTCCAAAGTGAACCTCTATTTTTATTTATTTACCATTTTCCTCTGAAGAGAGTAAGGCATTTATTTTTACTGCAGGCTTTTAAAGTAGGTTTGTGTCATTAGTTCTATCATACAGATCTGAAAACCAAAGTGGTTTCCTAAGTGTCTAAAGGTCAATTTACCTCCAGTTTGAGATCGTTAATGTAAAAAAGAATAAGAAAAGGATTAAAACTTAAAGAAATGTGAAGTAAATTAAATGTAGAAAGTAGGAAAACTCAAAATTCATTCAATATTTATAAGCATCTAGATTAAATAAGGTACTGAAGTGCATAATGAGACTGTAAAAATGAATAAAACAAGATCCTTGCCCTCAAGGACTCCACAGAGAGCTTGGTGGAAGAGGAAGATGCTAGACTACTGTAAGTGGAAAAGCAGACGACAGAGTTGAGCAGTGTGGGTGTTCTGTGGATGACCCACTGCGCCTAGATTAGAGGAGGGCATGGGAGAGAAGAATCCCTGGATGAAAAACGAAGCTTCATCCCTGGATGAAAAACGAAGGAGGTTGAATTGATGAAGGAGTCACACTTTGACCAGAGAACAAGTAGTAAGGTTACTTTAGGCAGAAAGTATTTTTGCGTATGTAAAGGCGTACAGATGGATAACAGCTTTAAAAACTCAGAGAAATGAAAGCCATCCAATAGCCTTAGAAAATAAGGTCAACAAATGAACAGGAATGGACATTAAAATGAAACCGATATATGATTTTGCACCAGGCTTGAGTAAACTACTAAGAGAAACCCATAACTTTCGGTCATTAAAGTAAGTTCACATCTCTATTTTCATTTTTGTATTTTTCCCTGTAGAAGCAGATTAACAAAGTATACGTTTTGTTTTATTTTGGTTTTCAGGAGACATTGGCATTTTAACTCCAGCAGGGCAAATTTTCTAAGCTAGGAGGAAACATGAATCTGTCCTCTTATGAGTGAGGCTCTAGTTGGAAACTCTGAGTATCAATCAACTCCATCGGATTTGCCCTTTGTCTTGGTGTATTGGCAGGAGGACAATTTCAAATAAGAACCAATTAGGATTTTCTAGTGTAGAAAATATATAATGAAAACAAGACAAAAAGACAACCCTCAGAATGGGAGAAAATATTTGTAAATGAAGCAACTGGCAAAGGATTAATCTCCAAAATTTACAAGCAGCGCATTCAGCTCAATATCAAAAAAACAAACAACCCAATCCAAAAATGGGCAGAAGACCTAGAGACATTTCTCCACAGAAGATATACAGATTGCCAACAAACACATGAAAGAATGCTCAACATCACTAATCATTAGAGAAATGAAAATCAAAACTACAATGAGGTATCACCTCACACCAGTCAGAATAGCCATCATCAAAATATCTACAAACAAATGCTGGAGAGGGTGTGGAGAAAAGGGAACCCTCTTGCACTGTTGGTGGGAAGGTAAATTGATACAGCCACTACGGAGAACAGTATGGAGGTTCCTTAAAAAGCTAGAAACAGAACTACCATATGACCCAGCAATCCCACTCCTGGGCATATACCCTGAGGAAACCATAATTCAAAAAGAGTCATGTACCACAATGTTCATTGCAGCTGTATTTACAATAGCCAGGACATGGAAGCAACCTAAGTGTCCATCGACAGATGAATGGATGAGAAGATGTGGCACATATATACAATGGAATGTTACTCAGCCATAAAAAGAAACGAAATTGAATTATTTGTAGTGAGATGCATGGACCTAGAGTCTGCCATACAGAGTGAAGTAAATCAGAAAGAGAAAAACAAATACCATACGTTAACACATATATATGGAATCTAAAAAAAGAATGGTTATGAAGAACCTAGGGGCAGGACAGGAATAAAGACGCAGACGTAGAGAATGGATTTGAGGACACGGGGAGGGGGAAGGGTAAGCTGGGACGAAGTGAGAGAGTGGCATGGACATATATACACTACCAAATGTAAAATAGATAGCTAATGGGAAGCAGCCGCATAGCACAGGGAGATCAGCTCAGTGCTTTGTGTCTACCTAGAGGGGTTGGATAGAGAGGGTGGGAGGGAGACGCAAGAGGGAGGGGATATGGGGATATATGTATATGTATAGCTGATTCACTTTGTTATAAAGCAGAAAGTAACACACCATTGTAAAGCAATTATACTCCAATAAAGATGTTAAAAAAAGAAAAAAAAATACATTAGACCCTTGGCATGTAGACTCAATCCTAAGCAAAAATAGCTGAAGTTTGGGTGAGTTCAGAAATTAAATTGTTATAGAAAAAAAAAACACCAGAAAGTGTATAATGAGAATTTTGTCTCCAGGAAAATGTCACTGTAATGATAGCCAAAGTGATGAGACAGAAATA